CAGGCAGAAATGAACACATTCAGACATTTCCAAAGAGAAAGCTGCCCTTATGTCCAGCCCACAAAGTTTGCATGTAAAAGAAACCTCAGAAAATTCTTCTGTTTTTACCTGAGGTTCCCATCACAGCAGCCCTCAAATGATGTTTTCAGCATCTGTAACATTTTGGTAGCAATACCAGCTATCGGATTGCAATGATTATCGCAATGAAACATCAAGTTCACTGCACAACTACCCTCTGCTCTGACAACTAATTATACCCATCTGCATGTGCCAAGATTCCAAGTCTCCACTTGGATTAAATGATTCATCTTGAGTTCTAATTTGGTGAAAGGAAAAATCCTCAAACTCAACTACATGATCCACTCTGCTTGCCTGCTACAAAGCATCTCAATGTTCAGCTTCAAACTAGGATGCCTGGGGCTCTGATAAAATACCAACAGCTTATCAGCTCCACCCTGAGTAGTAATGAGAGGATTTAGACCTTAAAAATCTAAGAATCACTCATAATATGAAAAAACACATTGAGTTCGTTTTAAAACGCTACTGATAACCAGTGTCTTTAAAACACTAAGAGCCATATTTCCATCTATGGGCGCAAGAGGTACACTCATAATGTGTGCGCATACCTGTTTCACCTGCAAAAACCTGAGTTTGTACATGCAAACTGGGTAACTGCACATACAAATGGACAGTCAGGCACACTGGGCTTAATCATGTTCCACTGAAATCAACAGTAAAACGTCTTTGGCTTTAGTGGTGCATGATCTGGCCTGACTGTAACTGTATGATTTTCATTCAGAAGTCTGTGTTCTCTTACAACACAGTGGGCAAATGCACATTTCTGCAGTCCACCTGCTGTGCTCACACCTGAAAATCTGGCCTTAACTTTAGCTAGTGAGAGAAGATGAGGAAATTTGAAAGGAACCTAAGGAAAAAGTTAGGCACCCCAATACCACAGAAATTCATTCAATTCAGGCACCTAACTCCCTCAGGCTTCCTTGACAATGGCAGTCTAAAACTTTAATAAAATCAAAGTTAATTTCCAGATCGGTCTCACGTGGACTCAGGGCTCTTTCTCCACTGTAGTAGAAACAGACCCCTCGAAGTTTTTTATTCCTAACCTAGAAGTTGGATAATAGCCTTTGATTTTGACTGTACAGATAGCCCCTCAGATTCCTTATGTCTCTTTTGAAATACTGCATAAGCCATTGCAGCGAAGTCAGCATTTCAGAAAACACTCTTAACACAAACAAAAAAAAGCCAAAAAAGCTCTAGCGACCCAAGCAGGACTCATTTTTCTGACACTGCTTACACGTATGTATTATTCAAAAATCCTGACTTCTTTGGTTCTTTCCTTCCTTTCCCATACCATATAAGGTTTGAGAAGCCAGAAGTATTTTGTATGGTAATCTGATAATCTTGTGTTGGATGATAACTAGACCGTTTGTTACTCCTCAGAGGAATCCTATCTATATTGGATTTAGTAGTTAAAATTAAAAAAAAAGTTTACCAAAGTTGATTTTCACGCAATAGCAGATACAAAAATCTCCCTTGTTAGGAGCAGAGCTCTTTATTAAAAACATCCATTCCTGACAGAGATAGAATAAACGATAAATATTGTTTTTAAAAAAATCTCACCTGTGTTTCCAATAGCATTTCAGATTACCAAACATGAAAGCATTTTCAGAAACAATCATTTGCACTTGTATCTCTAGCCAATTTCAATTCCTGGTTCTGAGGTAACAGCAGAGGTGTTGCATTTGAGTTCACAATAATGCAGAGGAACGTTTAAAACAAAACCAAACTGCTATTCTTTTTTTAAATCATTGTTACATAAAAATAATTCTTTTCAATACTAAGTTTTGGTAGCTTGAGGAACTGGCTTAGTGAAGAAACAGATTTGTAATACAGTACTTAGAATTTCTCAAGTCAACTCGTTGTATGCAACGTAGCTATAGCCATTTTGGTACCAGGTTATTAGAGAGACAAGGTGGGTGAGGTAATCTCTTTTATTGGACCAACTTCTGTTGGTGAGAGAGACAAGCTTGAGTACCTCTTATGTGCTTCTCATCGACAGAAGTTGGTCCAATAAAAGAGACCACCTCACCCACCTTGTCTCTCTAGAGACAATTCAGTGCTTTATCCTTGAGTAATAGTATACTGAATGCATAAAAGTGAAAATGAGAGAGAGAGAGAGAAGAAAATAGCAATAGTTTATAATACTTCTATACTGCATTAACTCTTTCAAAATATTCCAGGAAGTCACCACTAAACCTCCCTTCATAAATCTGGGACTCAAAACTGCTGCAAATTCGATTTCTTCCCCTAGCATTTCTGCTCCCTTACGCATGTTATTCTCAGTTGGCTGCATTGCCCATCCCTGTGTATAGCTTCCTAGTAGGAGTTTGTCACTGGAACCTACTGGGAATTAAGGAGCCTCCATCTTTTTCCCTCTCCCAAGGATCCTGATAAAAATAATTCAGTGGACCCATCATACAGACCTCGTCGCATGTTACCAAAATATCATTACATCACCACATGCTTCCTGAAAGTTAAAAAGCACATACCTTGCATTACTGCCAATTTAAAAGGTGGTAAAAATCTAGTTATCCATTACATCCGTCTGCTCTGACATGCACCTACTTCCCATACACACATTAAAGTATGTATAGCCTAGCAGCTCCTCTGTTCACCCATTCAAACCAGCGTGAATCCAAAATCCAAGCAGCATCCTCTAGTGAAGAGAATCTCACGGCTCAGTCAGTGGAGCATTCTATATTCAGAGTAGAGGAATGGTACTTAAAACACTATCCTCAAAAAGCAGCAAAAAGAACACAAGACACTGCCATGCAAAATGACTAAAGTAAAAAAAAAGTTTGTCAGATCATTGTCATGTGAAACAATAGGCATTTTACTCCATCTCCCCTTTCACTGGACTAAATTTGATTACAACTATACTCTCTATCAGGGGAACATCACATATTGATATTCTGGAATATATTTTCCATGCAGTTCTCAACTAACCATTGGGAGAAACAATCTATATGTCCTTCAGATACCACTATTGGCAGCTATTTAGCTTGCACAGTAGTTTATTGTGAAGTTCATAATAATGTTGGCAAGAATAGAGTGCTTAAGTATCATGGGTGTATACACTGCCTGTGCTGGCAGCAGCAATGGTGGCCTTCATGGAGCAGCAAGAGTTAGCCGAAAGCGTGAAGTCTTTCCCCTGGTTTGTGTTTGTAAGCCTGCACGGGATCAAGATGCACAGAGGTGAAAAATGTTACTTCATATTAGGAAGGAGAGTTCAAGCTACTGCTACATTTGGGATGTTCAACCCATGTATCTAAGGGCATATCTACACTACAAATTTAAGTCCGCATATAGCTGCCGCAGTAATTACTGTGGTTTTTCATGTCTACATTACTCTCCTTCTGTCAGTGGAGCGCATCCTCACCAGGAGCGCTTGCACCGATTTAAGAGGGGCAGTGGGGGGGGCTGAGAGCATGGACTCTCAGCTCTTGGTGGAGCTCACTGCTCCAAGCCCAGTTGTTGCCCCGGCTCCCAGCTCCAAGCCCAGATGACAGCCGGGCTCAGAGCAGGGACCTGAGAGCCCAAGCAGCAGCCAGGCCACCTAAGTTCCCTGTAAGCTGCGCAGCCGCACGGCAGCCTATTTAGTGCTGTGCAGGCGCTCAGGGAACCTGCCTGGGGACTTGCTGCAGCCAGGGGAGGTGCACATAACAAAATTAATTCCGCACATGGGTGAGAAAAATTAGAAGGAACACTGCCCCACTCCCCATCCCCCCCAGGCACCCTGGAGTGACAGCCTGAGCTGCGATCCTGGCAGAGGGTCCACAGCAGGGAGCCAACAGCCTTTCTTGTCAATTTCACGGCTCCAGTCAGGAGCCCTGAAATTGACAGTTATGACTGCCACAGCTGATCTAAGGAACACAGTGTCTACACAGTCACTGCAACACTTTACCACCACCAACATAGGCCCTACCACTCTCATGGAGGTGGAGTTATTATGGTGGTGTAGTAGGGCACTTACATTAGCAGGAGCAAGGCTATAGACACTGACATAACTGGGTCGACTTAAGGCATACATCAACTCAACTCTGTAATGTAGGCTTGGCCTAAAACAGGGAAGAACAAAAGTCATACTGGGCATGATCCTGCTTCGATTGAAGTTAATCACAAAATTCTCATGGACTTCAGTGGAAACAGGATCAGACCCACTCTTTCCAAGAACTGGGTAACAAGACTAAATATCCTCTATCTTGTTAAACTACGACATGACTGAGAAAGAGAGAAAATATACTATTAAACTTGCCAACAGGTCATTGTCAGCCGATGATATCAAATGGACTGAAATCAGCAGAATATTTTAACTACTTATTCAAGTACCCTCAGATGTTAAGTTCTCCTTCTCTTTTCACTGCAAGATACAAGCATACCTTGCAGCACTGGACAACTTGTGGATCTGATCTGTAGAGTGCAGTACATTTATGGCCTGGTTTTCAGATGTGCTCATTCAAGTTGTTAAATAGCTGCAAGCCTTAGCCTTGTCCAACTTTTTGATCGATTAAAAAAAACTTTTAATTGAAGCTGAATCACACACATTCTTTAGAAAAGGAGGTAGTCTATTAATATCTTTAAAAGATGTTAAATTGCAATCAAAAATTAATTAAGATACTTCAAAAGTCATAACCCTTCCACCTCACCCTGCTCTCATCAGTCCCTCCTGAAGTTACTATGGAACCCTTGCTTTAAAACAAGTGAAATGGAAAAACGTTTCCTAGTCAAAATAATTTCTAGCCTCTGTAGTGACTGACATTTAAGTAAAAAAATAAACCACTGAAGGGGGGGGGGGAGAGGGCAGGGGGAAAAAAAAAGTGTGTTTCCCTCCTAGTCTCTGAAGAAGTGAACCTTACAGCGGTTAATACTGTCAGATGCATTAATATAACTTACAGATTGCAATTTCAGATATATATACTTACCAAAGTAGTCAGCCTTGGGACGAGCATCCATCTCTTGCTCCAGACGCTGGGTAAGTGCTTCTAATTTTAATTCAGCTGTAGACGGCCCTTGTTCCTGCTGTGGAAGGAGGGTCTGACAGGGTAACTTTACTTTTGTAGAACTGGAATTTTCCTGGTGTCCTGAGTCATGCTGCAGACTGCTTATGCCCTCTTTAAATGGAGACCTTGGAGCATCAGAAATCATTGGCCCATGTGAAGCTACGCTGATGGAATCCTGCTCAGGACTTATGCCAGAGCCAGGACAATTAAGTCTGTGATTTTGACCATGAACTATGAAATGGGCTGTAGACTTGGGATAAGCACTGGCTTGCTGATAATCTACGCTTGGAGGCAATGGAGTAGGAGCTGAACTAGACGTGGAAGAACTAGAATTGTCATGGTACCATAACGAGTGGTCATGACTGGTTTTATGTGGTATGCCAGAAGGTAGCATCTCATTCTCAGGGTTTGGGCTAAATTGATCAGACAGACCTGAAAACCCTTGTGCAGGCAATGTTGATGGGGCTGAGAATGAGGAAGATCTCTGCTGTGGAAATCCCACTGCTGTCTCATCATCAAACCCTGTAGAAGTCGAAAAGGGGGTCAGAGTATGTGAGAAAGAGGAAGATCTCTGACCAGTTGAGTTTTGGTCATAGCCTCGACTGAGTCTGTTGCTTTCATTCCCATTTTCCTGGCTTCCATACCCACTTTCAGAAGACCTGCAGGAGCTCAGTGACTTCTGATGCTGGTAAGGCTGAGGATCAGCTTGGGTTTTTGTAGGACTCCTTGGTAGCTGATCACTATGATTAACATTGGATCGTAAACTCCCCAAACCAGATTTTGGGATGGAAAGCTTACCAGCATCTCCTCCCCAAGCAGGGATGCCTGCCTGATTCTCATTATAATGCTGTCCGTGGGGAAGAGAAGGAAAAGATGGCTTTGCAGTGCTGGGATTCACATGGGCTGCTCTGTGGAACCCATGTCCTTCAGAGACCTCAGAATCCCCCAGATTCTCTCTACAGCCATGTTCTTTGTTAGCTGTTTTGCCATCTTGGTATAATTTTGTTCGCTGCCCATCAGGAACAGCTTGTGGGTGATGTGGAAAAGCAAGCTGGTGCGCTGCACACACTGATGCTGTGGCCAGAGGAGGTTTGGCAATATTTTCTCCTGAATGCAATTTACTGGCCCCCGGAGCTACTCCAGGCACAGGATGGTTTGGAAGCTGCTGCTGGACACTGAAACTGGCCCCACCATTTAGAGAGCCAGAGTCAGCCAACATCAGCTCCTCTTCTTGCTGCTGCTGCTGTTTCTGGAGATGAATTTTAGCCATTTTAGTGGCAAAAACTCTCCTGGTTTCCTCAAATTCCGGGTTGTTGCCAACACCTTTGTCCACCCGAAAGAGTCCATCCTTGGAGGCTTCATACATATTGAGATCTTCTATAAATTTACTTGCCTCTAAGCCCAGATCATCATATTTATTATCCATTTTTGCAAATTCACTAGCCTCCCCCTCCCACAGCTAAACTTAATGATGAAAGCTACAAGCCATACAGGACTGTAGGAGCGGTTAGTACTGAATCCACTTTACTTTGTGATCCTCAGCTTCACGTCCGCTCGGTCCTCGACTCAGAAAAAGGTTACACGAGTTTACGTGCTTTGTAAAAATAATCAATTTTCTTGCATATTCAAAAACTGAGAAAAACAAGCTTCAGGTTGTATCTCCCGGTAAGAACTGGGTCAGAAGCAGCCGTATCTTCTTACCATAAGATGCTAGAAATGCAGCTTCAATTTTTATTGTAAACCTGGGGGTGGGAGGAACAGCCCCCTCGAAGAAGCAAGATCTGAAAGGGCTCCAGGAGATTTCCAGTTCACCCTGCAATCAGGGCTTACTCAGCCTGAGCCCACTAGCAGGACGGAGGCTAGAAAAGAAAGAGAGAGTTTGTAAGCGTCTCATTGAAACAGGCTGCAAACCCCTTCCCTCCCCAGCGGGAGGCCCAGCCACGGGGGGAGCGCGCAGCGCCGGAGGGGCGAGCTGGGGTCAGGTCTCTCACGCCGCGCGGGGCTGGGGGCCCCGTCCACACTCCCGGGGAAGTGGGGAGCAGCGGGATTGTCAGTCCCCGCCCAGAGGCCACGGGGAGGGGTCAGGGTCTCGCTGCAGGGGGGGGCTGCTGCCAGGAGCCCCGGGCATTTCCTGGGGAGGCGTCGGGGGGAACCTCACATAGCCTCTTCGCCTGCCCCGGCGAGGCGGCGGCTGCGGAAGTTTCTCGTGCGGGAGCGGGGGCCGGGCGGACTCACGCGGGCGGGGCGCTGCTCGGGCTGGGGCTCGCCGGCGGCCACTCTCCGTGACTCGGTGTCGCTTCTCTGCCCCGCCCGCGTGGCGGCCTCGCCCCCTTCCCGCGGGCGAGGGGCGGAGCCGGGCGAGCCCCCGGGTGACGGTCCCGGGCTGGGGAGGGGGCGGTGGAGCAGCTGCTGCCTGTCGGCGCGGAGCCCCGCCACGGGGACGGACCCGCCCTGGCCCGGCTCCCCGCCGAGCCGGGACCCACCTGGCCGTGGCCTTTAGGCGCTGCTACCTCTCGCTGCGGCTGCCCAGTGCCTGAGGGCCCAGCGCTTTGCAAAGCCCCCCCCCCGGTACAGTTGGCGAACGGGGGTCGGGATTTGCTCACAATCCCCTCCTAGCACCTTTGGCCCCTCGCTCTGCAAAGCCTCATGCCCAACCCTCAGCGCCGGCCGGATGCGGTGCAAACTCTGGCCCCAAACCCCGCGGGTTACCCCGTGTAGTCAGACACCTGCATGGAGCGCCCACTGGCTTGGTGACTTGGAGGATGTAGAGACTCTAGTCACCCTCAAAGGGATATTTATTCAAAAGCAGTTTTCTTCTCTGCCTCCCTGTTAAAGCTGAGCATAAAGTTCTATTTTCTTTTTGCTGTGCTGTTTGGTGGTGGCAGCTTCCCTGAATAGATTAGTGCATAAGGACTTGAAAGTAAATTGACCTGAAACAAATATGACTAAACACAATTCAGGAATGGCTGGATTACAAACCCCGCAGTGGAATGTTTTGCTAAAATAAAAATAGAAGAACCCAGTGGTTGGGAAGAAGCATAGTATGGGCCCAATCCTGCTAAAATGCGCAACTTTCATAACTCACTAAGCAGCTACAGGGCCTGTTCAACAACTGGGGAGGAAAATACAGACCATCTGTTTAACTCTCAACAACCATTTGTGAACGCACAAAAACACCTGGCAATTGTCAATGCTTTTAGAAAGAAGTGGCATACCTTTTCTTTTTTTTTTTCCTTCATTTTTGGCATAGGTATGCAGTTTTTCAATAATCCTAACTACCACCTACAGTCCTCATCATGGAACTCCACTGAAGTCCATAGGGCTCCAGGCGGACTTAAGGGTTTGCTGACCAGGAGCTCATTGCAGGATCAGGGCCTTAGGCCATGAACAGGCAACCACTTATGTACATTTGTAACTTTATTCACATGGGAAATTCCACTGACTTCTCAGATGAGTAAAGTTTGCGCTTGCATAAGTGTTTGCTATCTCGGGGTCATAGGCATGATCCAATGCAAGGTTCTGCTTGCACAGATCCAAAGATTAGAGGAGTGGTAAATAATGAAGAGGGTGCAAACAAACAATATAATTTTAATGTGGCTAAATGTAAGTGTCTATGGCTAAGAACAATGAACATAGGCCATACTTACATGATGGGGGACTTTATCCTGGAAATCAGTGTCTCTGAAAAAGATTTGGGGGTTGTGGTGGATAATCAGTTGAATGTGAGCTCTCATTGTGACACTGTTGGCAGAAGAGCTAATGCGACCCTGGGATGCAAGAATAGGGGAATCTCGAGCAGGAGTAGAGAGGTTATTTTACCTCCGTTTTTGGCACTGCTGCAGACACTGCTGGAATATTGTGTCCAGTTCTGGTGTCCACAAGTCAAGAAGCATGTTGATAAAATGTTGAGGGTTCAGGGAAGAGCCCTGAGAACAAACAAAGGATTACAAAGCATTCTTATAGTGATCCACTTAAGGAGCTCAATATATTTAGCTTAACAAAGACTTGATCACAGTTTATAAGTACCTACATTGGAAACAAATATTGGATATTGGACACTTCAGTCTAGTAGAGAAAAGTATAATACAGTCCAATGGCTGGAAGTTGAAGCAAAATAAATGCAGACTGGAAATAAGGTGTACATTTTTAACAGTAAGGGTAATTAACCATTGGCACAATTTACTCAGGGTTGTGGCAGATTCTCCATCACTGGCAATTTTGAATCAAGCTTGGATGTTTTTCTAAAAGATCTGCTATAGTTCCAACAGGAATTGTTTTGGGGGAGTTCTATGGCCTGTGTTATGCAGGAGATCAGATGAAATGGTGGCAATGGTCCCATCGGGCCTTGGAATCTAGGAATTGTGGGATGAGACCTTTACTTACTTGGGTTGGTTGGTGTTTTTTTGTTTTGGTTGTTTATTAACCTTGAATGTTTCAGGAAACCTGGCCGCAAAATGTTTGCAAAACTACGAGATACAGCAAATAATGAAACACACTGAGGAATATTCCACAATGTGCACTGTTCATGCTGGTAGTAGTGAAACAGCCCTTAGGGATGTGGTCAAATCATTTCCTTCTCTGCAAAACGAGTCAGGGGAGAGACAAAAATCTCTGTTTATTTTTGCTCTCTTGTGTATTTTATATTTCACACATACACTTGCTTTCCTTACACAGCATAATTATTGCACTCAAGCCAAACGCACATGACTTAGTCTATGATTAATCATTCAGAAGCCTTGAAGGGGGGGAATTCCTACTGAACCATTGAAGGAAAAGGAAAAAAACTCAAACACCTGCTTTCCTCCTGGTGGTATTTGTTTAACAAGAAAATAGCTGTGCAGGACTTTTTGCAAGCCTGTACTTGAGAGACAGACAGGCAGTTTGCAACGTGATTGCTTCACTTTAAAATAAATTGCTGGGTCCACAACATGATGGGGCCAACTCTGCCCCTGCCCCCCCGCCCCCGCTGGCCAAAAAAAAAGAGAGAGAATCACATTAAAAAGTTCTGTTCATTTCTCAGGATTATTAATGTTATATATTGACGATTTTCTAATATATTCTATGACGATTATTATTTGTATTATACTAATGCCCCAACTGAGATCAGGGCCCCAGTGTGAAAGGCGCTGTGCAAACACATAGTGAGAGACTGTCTAGCTCATAGTATACATAGAAAGGACAGACAAAGGAAGAATTATCCCCAAGTTACAGCTGGAAAGCTGAGACAAGTGAGATTAAGGCTCCCATTGGGCTCTACCTGCACAGAGCTACTTGCAGGATGGGGGCTTAAGCAACTCAAGGCTGTGGAAGTAAATTAGTGACTGGGGGAAACTGAACTCAGAGCACCTGAGTCCTACTCCAGCACCTTAACCACAAGTTTACCCTTCTCATACTATGCTATACCCATAGAAATGTTTTCTTCATTGGGGAAAACAACTCCTTTTAGCGCTAAATTCTGTCCTCAGATATGTTTAATATCCCATAAAAGTCAATGTGAGCTGTGCATGTATGAAGGGAGAATTAGGCTATGTACACACTACAGTTTATATCAGTATAAGTCATGTCGCTCACGGGTGAGAATAAGTCACCCGCCTGAGCAACCTAAGTTACACCGACCTAACCATCAGTGTGGACAGCGCTATGTCAGCGCAGAGAACTTCTCCCGTCAACACAGTGGCCGCCGCTTGCGGGGCCTGGAGTAATTAAGTCAATGGGAGAACTATTTCCCATTGGCTTAGAGTCTCTGCATTAGCAGCACTACAGTGGCGCAGCTGTATCGGTGAAGCGAAGAAATCCTTGTGGAGGTCTGGCTCCCAATTCAACAGGGCAGCAAATTCTGCCCTCAGGCACGTCCATTCTGCCCTAGCAAACTCAATGGGATAATGCTGCTGTAACTGAGAGCATAATAATCTGGCCCCAATAATTTAAAACCTGTCCCCATGGTATTTTTATTGGACTGTACAGCATGAAATGCCAAAAAGTCCTATGTTGAGTTAAAGACTGACAGGCCCAAAATTGGACATACCCTAAAATATAACTTCAGTATTAATGTCCTCATGATCTTTATCACATCCTCTCCAACATACTGTCACACAGACACGATCCCAACTTCTCAGCTGGGCAAACGTCCCCCAAACACAAAGAAGGTTGATGCAGATAATTGGATGTATGGCAGGAATTACATAAAAGGCTGCAAATATTAGGCATTTTTGAACGGCAGGGAAGGGTGGGTAAGTGAGGTATTTATGATTATGAGAGAGTGAAAAGGGATTGGTCCTTTTTACACAGTCCCATAATATAAGCACAAAGGATACTTGATTAAAATTCATAAGGGGTACGTTTAAATAGAAAGAAATACACACACTATATAAGCAGCCTATGGTGTTAACTTCCCTGGGAGAAGGTGCTCACAGAGTCATACACGGTACTTGAATTTAAAAGGGGAGGGACTGGATAATTTTAGAATATCTATAGTTATAACTTGCTAAAATAGGATGAATCCTATCCTATCCTTCTGGACATAATGAAGGAGTACGGAAGGAGTTTCCTTCTGCATCCCTCCTTTCTGGACAACACTGTACAATTGTTCAGGTGCTTTGTTATCATCATTATTAATTTTCACATTTCTCTGGTGCATCAAGAACTGGCCACTGGCTATGGCTCTACATCAGATGTGATCAACTAATGGTCTGATCTGGTAGGAAAATGTTATATATTTCTGGTTTGAAGTTGCATAAACACAAATACAGACTGTGCCACCCCCATTTTTTAATGCAGGGAGGGTACTGAAATATATACCAATCCTATGGTGTAAAATGAACACACTTGTGAAAAACAAAGGTGATCAGTCTCAGCTGAGCCCTGCCATTCTTGAGAGTACACCGGACTCTCGCTAGAACGCGCGTCTATATAATACGAATTTGGATATAACGTGGTCACGGCCATGGATCCCAAATTTAAGTACAGTACATTTTTTTTGAGTTTTAAGTGACCTTGGTGTTCGTTACCTTATCATTCATGCAAGATGGAGGAAAGACACATATACTGTATCACAGTCTGACGTGGAATTCGACTTCAAGGGATTTACAGAGGAGGAAGTTGGAAGAACAGACATGGAGTGGTTGCAGGAGCTGTCCCAGCAACTGTCCGGGCTCGGGGTAACTGTTCTGCCACAAAATATCGAGTCCTGGAGCCATGGAAGAAGAGGAGGAAGATGAAGAGGACGTCGTTCCAACGTCAACTGCGACCGTAGCCGGCTTAGAGACTGCTTTGAGGTAGTTTGAGACGCAAGATGTTGAACCTATACAAATTATGCAGCTACGTAATCTTTTGCAGTTTGCTAAGCGGAAGCAGCACAGCAGCAAGAAGCAAAAGCAACTCACCGACTTTTTTAAGAAAAACTAGACAAGTTTATTGTAATATCTATTTTAAATCTCTAATAAAGCAACA